TCCATTCTATTCATCCTACTTGAGTCATTTGACCTTGTCAATTATTCGCTTATCAGTCTTGGCTGTTTTATATGAGCGTATAGTGTGTACACTTCATATCCATGTCTCATCACATGTCTGTAGTTTATTTTGTCTGACTATAAATATTGAGTAACGCTCGACTAAAATGGAGTTGGCTTCCCAGCCTCTTCCCTGCGTGTCATTTGCTTTGCTCTGTTTCATTCGCTTCATATACGAAAATTATGTATTCACAAGTCAATTCTCGTTATTCGACTTATTTATTCCGTTATTGGATAACTTGATTTAAGTCGATGATTGTATACGAAATAGGCATAGCAAACATTTGTACGATCCTGGAGTCAGGTCTATGGGCCACTAAAATGGTGAGCCCTTCAACGATATCGTCGATCTAAATGATGACAAAACCAAACTACGGGCCTCCACTAAAAACTCTTAGTCACTACATTCCACATCAAGATCATATAAATTGAAGAGGGTGAAATAATATCAAAGTTGTGGGGAATTGAACATTAGATTTTTAAAGGAGTGAATAAAATCGCGAGATAAAACGTTGAGAACATTAATATGTTTAAAACTTAGTGGGAGACGAGTAATCAAAAGACTTATACTACTGTGACAGATCTTGAGCCAATATCTCAGAATTTGGATTGCAAAATACTAATATTTCAACTAATACAAGACTTTCCCTTGATAACGCTACTGAGACTAGGGATTATTAGCTTTATCGATTGAGGTCAGATCATAATTTGACAATCTTTAGGCTTTTTCAACCAGCTCCTATGGTGATCAGCAAGTGTGCACTAGGATCCTTCATACACCTCATTTTGGTGAGGGCTAGTAGTTTAATCAACCACTTCTACCTAATAATCTACATATAACATCAATATTGTTCACTCAGTAGTTCTATTATGGCGAGGCAACGTTTTAAAGATACTGACGATTGAATGGCATCAACCTACCCATGTTTTCTAAGCCGTCCCTTGTACTCAATACGGAAGGAATCAGAATTTATAATAGCAAAGCCCCCAAATGCCCTGGTACAGTCGAGGGTGGGGAGAGTCCACTCTCCCTTTCGAAATACTCTCACATGGCCACGAGCATACAGCCACTGTCAAAGAAGTCCTACTCACTGCCTTCTCGCCGTGGGGGTGTTTTCACGAGATTAAGAGGGTGAAAAGCGAATGTCCGGCGCTTTAACCGGGTTGGTGGACACGGAGGTTTTACCTAGGAGAGTTGGAAAACTCTGATTTAAAACCAGTGGTGAACATGGGCTCCTGGATCGTGGGGGAACAAGTGGTGTATAAACCTATTGTTGGTCACCAGCTACCACGGAACTGTATCTCCTAACACTGCCCCACTGACTTGTGTGTTAGACCTTTAGGTCAAAGGCTCTGAGTGTGGCCCCCTAAGAAAGTCACTTGCTTCGGTTTGGGCGCTCGGACAGTATCCAATCACTCACACAAATCAATGACAACTACTATTGGCCTCATCCTTATTGAGTAGTGCATATGTATTTGGTGCGCCCTTGTACCAATGTTTGTGTTCAAATAAATAGTAAATAAATAACAGTAAAGTAGACATTTTATTCACTATTATAATTTGTAAGTTATAGAAAGTTTCAAAAACCCCTAATTAAATCTTGTCGACACCCAAACCATCATGACTGATAAAACTTAAGTAAGTGGTAGACAGGGTCAACTTATTAGTCTCCTGCTGTCAAGATACATGATAACACAAACCATCTTAGGAACATTAAATTCGAAGAGAAAGAAACATAGCTTGTACAGTATCGCAACGTCACTTGAGACGTTTAAAAGTACATCACTCTTATAAGCTATCAGCAGACAAATGCATACATTCTGTGTACATCACATCGTTGAAACTCTTTAGGTAAATTAATACCTGAGAAATCAGGCAAAAGTTACCCATGGGAGGATATTCACAGGATTATGTTAAAATGTTGAAGGCAGACATCTTCAGCAGAGCGGTGGCTTAGTGGTCAAAGCACCTGACTTCCAATTATTATATAGCTGGTTGCAGCTTTGGTCTCAACAGTCAACTTTCATACAAACTGCAGCTTAAGGCTGAGTGTATGAAAGCGCACTCGGAAAAACGGTGACATCAATTATCAAAGAACTAATGGACACTACTTGATCCTATAAGGTTCTCTGATAAAGATCTTTAAGCAAAGTGCACATTTGTGTTACGCCACTTAAGATGACAAAAACATTTTATAGAGCCTATTGACTGACAACGTTTGATGGTGAATTCAAGTCAAATAATTCACCAACAGCAATCAATGATGGAAAATTTGAAAATAACACGAATTCATCTTTTGTGGAACTTCCATTGTTAATTTGCGAAAAGTATTAAATTTAGGATGAGCGGGTTAGGTTTCACAGGTATAGACCAAGACTGCTCTCAATAAAGCGTTGTAAACCCTAACTTTAACAGCCAAACTGACATCAGAAGGGCACCAAAGATGACCCAAATAGCCACACGCTGTTTTGGTTTTTACTATATATAGATTGATCTTATCTACAGAGCGACCACATGCACTTAAAAAACAACAGAAATACACGAACTCTTCAACTACGTGCAACGGCACCCCACAAAAAGTGAGTGCAAGTACTGGCTCCCATCAGTCTTGTCTAAGTACTGTGGACTTAAGTGTTCGAGCATTTGGTGGCGAGTTAATATATGATCTATACATCCACAACCTGAACGAAAGCCAACCTACTCCTCAGGAGTCAGTCTTTGACATGTTCTGTAGTATGGTGGTAGTCAGTCAATTAAACGATAAGATATACCTAAAATATTTTCACATAAATCATGTGGGACGTTTCAAAAGATGAATACGGCAATGTCCTGATTCGAATACTGGAGCATCATCAGTTCATAGTTTTGCACAATTCAGCTAGTTATGAAGCCATTATGTCATCTTAATTCCGGAAAATATTGAAAGCTATGGTTTAAACCTAGTTCAAAGTGATACTTGATTTCAATTATAAGTCCAGTTTATTCAGACAGAGACTCTAACCCATGTCTAAACAATGACCCATATAGATACCTTACATTATACGAAGTAAGAACAGTATTAAAGAGACCAGGAAAATATTTACAACACATATCCCGGTTTGTGCAAGCCGTAGCCAAGATCAAAGACAATAGTCCACAAACTTTAGTGGCCCGCTTACTTTATGCATAGTGACTTCAGGACCATTAAAAACTGATGGTTCACCCATATCATTCCAGGTAAACATGGAATCTTTGCAAACAGGTTCATAAGTAAGGAATAGATTTGACCACCACTGCTGAACAGACTTATCAGTGAAATCAGGCCACGCACTAGATCCAGGCCAACACCAACCATCGAATTCGGTCCCATCTCTAGTTTTGACGAAAATCCCATTATTTTGGGAATTACTGAGAAAAGATTAAAAAAGAGGTTTCCATTAAGTATAAATTTATTAGTCAGAATGATGCGTTTATGTTCACAATACTAAGAAATGTTTAACACTGATGAATAAATTCACCCTAATGCCAGATAATTTACTGGTAACTTCATTTATGAAAACGGTTTGAGAAAATGGGTTAATTTAGTTTCTGAATATAATCACATAACAATAATAATAATAATAATAATAATAATAATAATAATAATAATAATAATAATAATAATAATATCAGATGACAGTAATGCTGTACACTGAACGACTGAGTACTTAGTGACAGTCTCTTTTTAATTTATCATTTGCACCAACATCCGTGTCCAAAATGTGACCAACAACTATACTTAGGGGTTTCTTTACCTTAAAACTATTCACTTATTATTACCCCTCTTTGAGAGGAGGATAACTTAGATTCTTGAGAAAGTTCGTCTATGCTCAATACCTTTTGTGGAACCACTTCAATATCATCTAACAATAATGTATGACAGTTTGACTACTAAACATGTCTCCAAAACCCCGAGTCAAGTATATGAATAAAAATAAACTGTAGGACTGTTTAGCAAAGTTAATTAACATAGAATCAAGACGAGAAACTGAAAATAAACTAGTCAGTATTGTTTTAGATATCAATATCTTAGAAAATGTTTGATACATTATAAAGTAGGTTTTACATATGCAGTATCGAGAGGGCTATCATAGACACCATGAAGTTACAAACGTTTCAGATAGACATTAACAAAGTCTTCGTAATAGGACTAAAAACTTCTTTACTATCTGCAAGTATTGGATGTAATCGTCTCGACATAACTACACACCTCAGATTTGACAATTTTTATCACCTAATTGGTGAGAAGGCAATTATGTCAAAGATTAAGTAAAATCTTCATCGTAATGGGGAAGTTTACCCACAGAACATTGTGTTTAAAGGAACCATACATAAACAACTTTCATCAAATGTTAAAATGTGGGAAAATTACCTGAATAAAGGCCAATTCGAGTCACGCTTAATGTGAGGATCAACAACCGTAACGAGCTTTCGACCTTTAACATTCAGTTTATCAACCATTTCTTTTGGATTTGGAAATTTAGTTCTATCCCAAGTAAAATAACGTTTTCCATCAGTGTGTTCAATGTCTAACCACAAAACGTCAACAGGCATTTCATATTCATCAAAATGTTTGTCCACAGAAAGTAAATCAGCCTCATCATTATAGTTCCATCTACACTGATGATAACCAATCGCAAACAGGGGTGGTAACTTGGTAGTACCTACCACACTAGCATAAGAACGCATTGCTTCAGATGGAGTACTACCCATAAACACATATAAATCTACTAAGCCGGACTCAGATATCCATCTCGTTTGTACTGAAGATTTCTCTGGTTTCTTCGAAAAGAAACCTGAAAATATTCCGCTATTTTGTGAGTTCGAATGATCAATGTCGATCCATGTCTCCGACGGATTCAGCCACAAGACACCCACAGTATTGTTTTGATTGTGTCCCCACATAACAGGGACAGAGCCATATAAGGCCATTTTATTATGGACCTCATATTCGAATACATCAAGATTATAAAGTCTGTAGGGGTCGCCATCACTTGTAGTTTTCAAAACGAATCCATCAGCATGTTCTGGGATCCCATAGACGTGACTGAATCCCTGAAAGTCGAAATCCATCGAGATAGAGTTTAAGCCGTGAGGTCTTGTGTCAAGATGTTCTTTGAAATATTCTGACCATGACTGATCTTCCGGAACTGTGTGCTCTGTATCTATATGATCTTGTTTTTTATCTTCTTTGTCTTCATCGGTAGTAGAGTCTTTTGGTACATCTGTATTTCCTGAAGAATCTTCGGAACTATTTACAATAGAAATATCAACCTCATGATTTTCACTTGGTAATGTATGGTTGTCATTTTGAGATACCTTATTTCTATCGATAATCGGTTTTTTCCTCTGATGTTCAAAATTTAAAAGACTTCTCTTATTTGCTGATGCTACAACAATGTCATTCAGGAAAAAATCGATATGAAAAGGGTTATAATACACGACTGCCTTGTATCCAGACTGTCCATCCAACACTAAACTATTCTCAGCAAATTTACACCTGATAGGGGCCTTTTCAACGCCTGGCAAAACGTCTCCTGTAGGCACGCGATACCTTTTATACTCATCTGTCAATTCATCAATGAGTACACGGAAGATGGAGTGTTGATTATAGGTAACATCCAGCGACAGATGATGGTTTTGATCTTCAGTGTAAATAACTGCAGTTATTCCATGTGGGTTTATCTTGACAGAACTTGGTTCTAACCTGTGCGCAAGTCCCCCGGGTTTTATTTGTCGTTGTCGAGTACAGAACCTGTAATATGAGTAAACTATAAAATCATTTAACTTACGAGCTCTGGTCACATGTTTTAAAATTAGCACGATCTACCGACCATGAGATATTGAGTATCACGAAAAGTAGACCTAAACTCTCTGGCCTCAAAAACATGTTGAAAGAACTGTATCAATAGGCTAACGGGTTTTGTTTAGTAGAGAAGTGAAGGAATAATCTTGTGTGGGATTCCAGTTCGCCAGGTCAAATAGCGTAACAAGGAGTCTGAGAAAATGAAAAGCGTAGTTCTAAAACTTAATAAGCATATTTTAAATAACCATATGAATACAAGATAATAAGTAGTCAGTGATCGATCTACGGAGTAGGATTCTAGAATAACAAACGCTGATAGCTATTTTTGGAGAAAACACCTTTAACCAGTTGGTATGCAGCTGTTAACACAGTAGATAAAAGCTGCTGGTCGCCCTCTATCAAGCTAGCATGATATGAAAGATAATAAGAACTTATTTATTTTTATTTTATTTCAACACATAGATATTGGTACAAGAAGGCACCAAATACATATGCGCAACACAAATCTCATTCGATATATGTGAGGGCTATGATACTGCCCGGGTGTCCAAACCGCAGTAGGTGGTTTCCTTAGGGGGCTACACCCGGAGCCTTCGACCTGAAGGTCTGATCCAAAAGGCAGTGGAGAATCGTATGGAGATGCAGTCCCATGGAAGCCGGTGACCAACAATTGGTTCATACGCCATTTGTTCTTGCAGGATACTGGAGCCCATGTGCACCATTGGTTTGGAATCCGGTTAAAGCGCCGGACATTCGCTTTTCGTCCTCTCATTTTCGTAAACAACACCCTCGCCACGAGAAGGCAGTGAGTAGGATTTCCTTGGCAGAGGCTATATACGCGTGGCCATGTGAGAGCATTTTGAGAGGGAGAGAGGACTCTCCCCACTCTCGGCCGTACCAGGGCATAATAAGAACTAACCCAAGTGTATTCATTGAACACAAAATACTCATTTAGTGATAATGAAACCAGCAAAAGTTAATAGTGAACAAGATCACCAACAATACTATCTGTAGACGAAAACCCATCTTATGTGATCTACAGCAAATGAAAGGGGCAACCTTGTGACCAATAGCGTAATCTACTAGACACCAAACAGAAGCCGTCATAAGCCAAAGTCCATTCAGACAACTGACACTCAAGAGTCTGTAAAAAATGGTATGTCAGGTGTTTATGATTAGTTAATTTCAGAATAGGGTGTGTTAAATCCTGACAGTAAGATTAATATGAGTATTGTACGACTCTGACTCCTCAGCCTAATCCATTATACAGATTACACGATTGATCGGCGAGACCCTAACCCTAGGCTACAACCCATATGCATTATGAATTCAGAGCCTCTGAACCTTTATCAAACCTTAACAAGTTTTTAAATCATGTAAAAGAAGAATATCCACTGTAATTCATTACTTACAATATATTTTCACTTTATACTGTCTTCTGATTGGCTAATAATTGTCAAGGTCATTTAAGATTCGTTCAAAGGTCGTCGCCAAATTAGAGTCTCGCCATTGCTCGAAGTCAGATGGACACTAAGGACTAGCGAGCCCGACTGAAGAGGTATATGCCGCCTATCTATAACGGACTACCACAGAGTTTGAGCATCAACGAGGTTGCGGTTAGAAATTAACGTGCGTTACTACGACCTTAGCCTAATGAACAAACCCGTCATACTTTAGGAGGCTGCTGAGCCTAATGTGACTCACTACCGTTGCATCATAGGCTTGACAACCTATTGTGATGTCCATCTTCATTACGCGGTTGCCATTGCCCTATGAACATACCCTTCAACGAAATAAGAACACAAGGCAGGTGGTCTGTAGCTCGAAACGACACACTTTCTTGATAGAGTAAGCGCACTATGTGCTGCGTACAAACGGTACCACGTGTGGAGATCGTAGATAAGGAATTACATGACAAGGAAATAACCGACGACCCCATAAAAGCATGCGACAGACCTACGTTCAATAGCGAACCCAAAAGACAAATGCTAATGTTATCACAAACTCGAAGTTTAGGAAACCTGACAAACCAAACCTGAAATGAGAGGAAGCTCTTGAACGCGTCAAACGACCTACAGTCAAGACGCGCGCCGGTGAATATTCACTTCAGCACTGAATAATTCTAAATCTAAACTTGTTGAGGCCTGTTCAGAAGAGACTTTCTCTATATTAACACAGCACTTCGTGGAAATAATTCATTGTAATATCTAACTGTAGTCTTGAGCATATGAAAGAAAAGTGAGGGCATATCAGATGCGAATTTATCATCAAGTAATTTGAAAGCCATGATCAAGTCACATTTGATTCTTCTATATGATAATGGAAATAGATTAAGCCAGTCGAGCATCATACGGGAGCTTTGATATTCCGGGAATCAGTTTAGTTGCAGTTTTCTGAATATTTTTCAACAGCTCACTTTTCCCTTTTAGACAGAAGCTAGACACTTGTATGCAGTACTCAAGTTTAGGACACACGAACAATGTATACAAATTCAAAAAAAGTTAAAGCGTCTACATGATTAAAGGCTCTACGTATTGACCAAAGTGTTCTGAAAACTTTGGAGGCTATTGCAATGCAGTATGCAGTAGTTTATAGGTTTGAACTAACGACGGCTCCTAAAACAATGTGCGTTCGGACAACAGGCAGCTCATTAATATTCACCGTGTATGCATTTCAAGGCTAATCGTATACTGAATCTTTCATCCGGTTCAGCGACACTGTTTCTCAAACATTTCCTGATACTGTTAGTAGTGTGATGCCTCTGTAGTTCACACATGTGCCGAGATTTCTTTTCCTTGATATATTGATGGGGTATTTTCCTCTCCAGTCTGTCGTCATTTGTTCCTCCTCCTTTCTAATCTTCCTGAATAGCATGAGGAGCATGTTTGCAGTTACTTCTATGTGTGACTTCATGCTTCAGCTAGTGTGTTATCAGGTCCTTCTGCTTTCCATCTGTTGATTTGTCTGACAGTCATATTGGTTTCTTCGATTTACTGTGGAGTGACATCTATAGAAAAGTCTGCATGTGCTGCTTCGCTGTTCGGTGGGTTCAGTGAGCCTGGTCTATTCAAGAGTTCTTCCGTGTTTTACCCATCTATTCTTCTGTTCTTGAATCTCGACGATTGTCTTATATTTGTCCTTGACCGGTCTCACTAGTTCACTTTATTTCCCTACCAGTTCCCTCGTTGTGTCATAGAGTTGTTTTGTATTTCCTTCTCTTACAGCTTTATTCGCTTTCGTTGGTAGGTCTTCCATGTATTTTCGCTTGTCAGCTCTAATGCCCCTCTTCACTTGCTTATTTGCCTCTGTGTATTCATCTTGTGCTTAGACTTTCTCCGCACTTGTTCGGCTGTTGTTAATTGCTGTATACTTGTTCATACTTTCTTGAATTTTGTCCAAGGTTTCTAGGAGATCCTTTCCTTATGATGATACTTCTTGCGACCCGTGACGCTTTGAAGTTAGTGCTGCTTTGGTCCCTTTTCAGTTGTCCTATACAGTAGCTTTTTTCTTTTAGTAGATCCAGTAAGCTTGTAACCTGTTGTTGAGAGCTATCTTGAGTTCGTTGAGTTTGTTAGTACCTCGAAAGAAGATTACATTAAACCTTTGTAATGCTGTTCTCCCAGTTGTCTAGTATTTCTTGAACTTAGGTTTCATCTTCACCACAACCAGGTGATAATCTGAAGCTATGCCAGCTCCTCTCCTGGTCCTCAGGTCTTAATTTTTTAGTGATGTAAATATCATTGATCTGATTCTCTGTAATGTGATCCGGTGAGTCCCATGCAGCTTTGTGAATGTGTTTTTGAGGGGAAATATTGCCACCTATAACCATCTTGTTGACTGCACATAAATCTGCAAATCTCTCACCATTCTCGTTGCTCCCTCCCAGTCCATTTCGTCCCATGATATCTCCATACCCAATGTTAGCCACGCGGACTTGGGTGTCTAGGTCTCCCATCAGTATGGTCAAGTCATTTCCTGGGCACTTCGCTATGATCTATTGCAGCCTTTCGTAGAACTGGTCTTTGTCGTCGTTGTTATCATTGGTGTGTGTGTAGTGGCATTAGACCATAACCACACAATCTTCAAAGCTGAACACAAGACTACTCGGAAAATAGACATTCAATATTTAACGCGGAGAAATACCTAACGATGGAGAAGGCGCGAACAATGAGTTGAAGGTACTGGAGTTGATCGAGTGGCATGGCTCGACCATGCAGGCGTGGTCTCTGCTGAATGTTACCTTATATCTCCTATTCATATTAAATATATTGTTCTTTCTCTAGCCTAACCTTGTTCTACATCATGTATTGGTAATTGATACGATACAATAAGTTGGTGTAGTCGAGGGTGTGACTTCCACGTAAGATCTTATAGATTAGGCAGTTATATCATGACTAATCTACAATTTTGGGATTAGGTCTATTATTAGAGCAGTACTAATATCATAGTAGACCATAATTCTACATTGGTGAGCCCGACGTAACACAGGGTAACGTTCATTGTAATTCCCTTATTCTTCGTTTTGAAAATGCTTTGATGATCCTGATTCATGAGATTACCATGACTCCAACTTGGTCATCATAAATTATGGGTCGCAGACATGCGTCCTGGTAGGATGGATGAATCGCCCACCCCATTTAGACACTTGTAGAATTATGGTCTACTATGATATTAGTACTGCTCTAATAATAGACCTAATCCTAAATTTGTAGATTTGTCATGATATAACTGCCTAATCTATAAGATCTTACGTGGAAGTCACACCCTCGACTACACCAACTTATTGTATCGTATCAATTACCAATACATGATGTAGAACAAGGTTAGGCTAGAGAAAGAACAATATATTTAATATGAATAGGAGATATAAGGTAACATTCAGCAGAGACCACGCCTGCATGGTCGAGCCATGCCACTCGATCAACTCCAGTACCTTCAACTCATTGTTCGCGCCTTCTCCATCGTTAGGTATTTCTCCGCGTTAAATATTGAATGTCTATTTTCCGAGTAGTCTTGTGTTCAGCTTTGTGGATTGTGCGGTTATTGTTCAATGCCACTACACTACTCTCCCACCAGAATCAACGTGATGTTGGTTCGATACCGAATTGGATGGGATCGTCGTGCGTTGAAGGTTACCAAGACTAGGAAGAATCCCCCGGGTAATGATAAGCTGAAAGATAAGTCAAAAAGAAGGCGGCAGTATCTGGTCGGGAAATACATGTAATAATTTTAAAAAAAATCTGTCTTCATGCTTAACACACTTAAAATGACAATTTGGGTGAAGATTATATGAGCTATAAAAAATGGGATTACAGTAATAATAATAAAACAATGCGTGTTAATAGCCGTTGGTTAATAACTTGACGTATAGGTAGTAAGTATTTTGTGTTTAGAAATATTAAAGTAATGAATATTGTAGAAATGTTAATATTGGTATTTGTTTTGGTTTAAATTATGAAACCAATTAACAATTATGCCGGTAACCCGTCCATATGTGATTTCCAATTGCATCTGTATTAGTAGGCTAACTGGAAGAACAAAAGTATTACCATGGAAAAGAATTCCAACTAGTGTTCCAGTTAGTTTGATACGGTTTATTTAGTTACGTGGAGATTTTCTCAACCTCGTTTTTACTTGACCGTGATAGAATTTAATAATACTACTAATACACATGAATGGTTATTAAAACAAAATTTCAATACATGAGTGATAATTATATGAGTTTTGGACAGATAGCTAAGAACAAATCGTTAAACATGAGTGTATTCGTAAGAGACATGCTCTAGACTCAATGTTCTGAGTTGCCATAGACTATTTATACATATTTATACCTGACGGCTGATGATGCATACAAGTTAGTTGCAAGTATGCAGTTTATCATAAGGCGGAATACGATTTAACTGAGATATAGTGGTTATAAGTTATTGAAATCAGTTAGGCCTATGTGTCATATTACTAGGTGATGTGGTGCTGCAGGATGTATTCGGCTAAATAAGCTTTTACAAGATGATTAACAGTGAGTGATGCTCATGTGATTATAAGGGAGAACATAAGTTGTAACCAAGGGGAGTACACTCCCAACTCATGTCTATGATAATCGCTTGAACCTTAGTCAGTGTTGGGGTAAATTCAACATTGATGTTTTCAGTTTGCAGGAGATTTGCTCGACTGCTTATACTGATTATTTGCATGCATGATTGTGTCGCTAAACCTTCAATTAGACTGACAAGGTTTTGAGATATTTACTGAATGAGCAACTGATAGAGAAACATACTGTAATCATCTGTAGTGGATGAAGATAAAAGAAAAACAACACTAGTGATAATTACAAGTCGATTTGATGACCGGTTATGTTAATAGTTTCATTAATATTATCAATCATATTACGTGATTGTCAAGTCATGACAATGCTTTATGACGATATCCTGAAACTATTATGTTAAACTAGTTATAGTGTTGATTGAGGATTAGCCACTGGAAAAAAGGTATTTTTGCTTTAGGTGATTCAAAATTATCAGAAATTTGTAGTGTTACAGAACCCGAGACGCCTAATTATATTATAATTTTCAATTCAGAAATATTCGTTTAGTGGTAATTTTAGTAGGCTACGGAGTTTTGATTTTAAACGTTTGTTTAGTCAACAGCTACCTGGGGATTTAGTTATTTGACTAGTGCCGTTGATAGTAACTAAATTTTTAAATTAATTATCTAAACCATGTCTGCATTTTAGGCTGCTACTATGATAAACCAATCCATAAACCCATATACGATTAGCAACGACGACTATGATGGGTTTATTTATACACGTTAAAGGCGATTCAGATGATTTCTAAATTTAGAAGACATGAAGATATAGTGTAACGTATGTACGGGCCAGGTTAACAAGCAGGTTGTTGACGTATATGACAATTAAAAAATAATGAACACGACCAGGCTGCTTATGAAACTTCAGGCATGAATATGACGCGTTATAAACATTCCATAAGAAGTTACTGCATTCAGCCTAGGGACACTTACAAATATATGGCAAAAGCAACTGGAAAACATATATATGTTCAGTACAAAAATCATTAAGTAAGATAGTTGAACTCGCCTGGATTATTTC